CTATGGAAAGCAGTATGGAAGTTCTTCCCAAAATTAAAAACAGAACTGCCATAAGATCCAGTGACTCCACTTCTGGATATTTATCTAAAGAAAACTAAAACACTAATTAAAAAAGATATTTACCCTTATGTTCACTGCAGCATTATTTATAATAGTCAAGATATGAAAACAACTTAAGAGTCCATCAACTGATAATGGATGGATGGATAGATGGATGGATGGATGGATGGATGGATGGATGGATGGATGGATGGATGGAGGGTAGATAGATAGATAGATAGATAGATAGATAAACCTTGAGGTTATTATGCTAAGTGAAGTTAAGTCAGATAGAGAAAGACAAATACTGTATGATCTCTCTTTTATGTAGAATCTAAAAAACAAAATAAATGAAAAGAAAATAAAAAAAGAAAAGAAAACTCATGAATATAGGGAACAGAGCTGTCGTTGTCAGGAGGGAGGGGAAAGGGTGAAATGGGTGAAGATAGTTGAGAGGTACAGACTTCCAGTTGTGGGGATGTTGTACAGAACTTGTTGGCTACAGTCAGTGGTGTTGTAATGTATTTTTGAAGGTTGTTGGGAGAGTGAGCATTGAAAGGTCTCATCACAAGAAAAAAATTATAACTTTTACGGCAAGGGATAGAGACTATACTTATTGTAGTGATCATTTTTCAGTGTATGCAAGTTTTGAATCATTACTTTGTGTACCTGAAACTAATATAAGGCTGTATGTCAACTATACTTCAATAAAAACATTTTTCAGTGAAAAAATAAAATAAACATGTATCTTGTGTGAGGGGAGGGGAGGCACCAAAAAGTTAAAATACAGTAAGTCCTCACTTATTAATAAGTTCTTGGAAGTTGCAACTTTCATCGAAACGGTGTATAATGAAACCATTTTTCCCATAGGCTAATTAATATAAACAAGAGTTAAGTTCTTACAGTGTACTTTTGGTCACAAAAACATCACCGAACTGCTAAATAAATACCCAAAACACTTCTAATATTAAACACTGAAATAAATGTGAGCTACAAATGCATTTAAGAAAGATTAATAAGAACAAGTAAGATGATCATTTTCTAACCTGATTATTCCAGTTTAGATTAACAGGTGCCTAGAGCCTATCCAGACAGCTCAAGGCACAAGGGTGCACTCACACACACCCACATTCGCTCAAACTGGGACAATTTAGATATAGCAAAGCACTTAGTGTGCACATCTTTGGGAAGTGGGAGAAAAACAGGGTAACACGTAGACATGAGAACAATGTGCAAACTCCACATAGGCAGTGGCCCCTGTGGGAATCGATTTTTTTCTCATCAACGTTATAACGAAACATTATTCGAGGATCTGCTATAATCAGAAAATCAGAGTTGAGTTGGACCTCAGTCACTAAAAATACTAAAACCAGTAAATATCATCACAGCTTTAAAAGTAAAAAGCACCAATATCCCAGTACCAGCCATCTCAGTCAGTAATTTATCCATTTACTAATCAAACAGTAATTTAGCTAATAAAATGTGCCATGCTTTATGCCAGGACTGGAATATGAAGGTAAATAAATGAAAAACCAGATGTCAAGGAGTGCACGGTATACTGTAAAGGCAAGACATACAAACAGGTAATCAATGTATACTCTAATAAGCTATGTTCAGCATACTATGGGAACATCCAGGGAAGAGCAACTAAACTTCGGGGGAGGGCATATAAATTTTAAAAATCACTTGAACAATTAAGTAATTGAAGTTGAAATTTGTGTTCTAGTAAATTAAGAATAAAGTAAGGGCCTTCTAGGCCCTTTCACTGGGAAGGTATCAATTCTGACATGATTTATTGGTTCTGCATGTAGTTAGAGGAAGTTACTGAATCTTATCTTATTCTCATCTGTAAACAAGGTAATGGGATGTACTTTGCCACTGGTTGTGAGAATTACCTGCAAAAAGGTATGTGAAAGCACGTAGAAATGTGCTTGAAATATAGAAAGAAAAGGAGGATTACTATGTATTCACTACCTACTATAGGCACATAATGAATATTATTTGGAAGTCAGTATAGCGAAATGGTTAGAGCAGGATTTGGAATCACCCAGACATAGGTTTGAATTCTGCTCCTGCCACTTGTAAACTCTGCAACCATTCATTAGGGCACATTTCTCCTTTCCGAACCTTGGTTTTCAGCTGTCGGACAGGATAAATAAAAATAACTCCATTACAGTTTTGAAAATTTAAAACTATAATTCAATAGTACCATGTCTGAGAAGCAGTAAACTATTAGTTTTAATTGCTACCATTAATTACATCCTGCATAAGCATGACTATAAGATATGGAAACATTGAGATTTGATGAAATTCACATAGTTGCTAGAATTACAACTACCCTAGCTCCTAGTTCAGTGTTTTCGACCCAATTTGCCTGCACCCCTTAATTACAGGATAAGAGCATCACCCCTGACATTCTGGATGATTCTCTAGCCAGATAGGAAGCTCAGAGGGAGCCTCCAAAACACAAGTTGAGGACTGGGGACTTAGTGGCCCTGCCTTAGCTCTAATGACCAGTGCACTAGTACCCTGGTGGTATGGGCTGAATTGTGTCCTCCAAAATTCACATGTTGAAGCCCTAACACATAATGTGACTGTATTTGGAGACAGAGTTTATAAGGAGGTAATTAAGGTTAAATGAGGTCAAAGGGGCAAGGCTTTGATCTGATTGGATTAGTGTCCTTATAAAGAAAGACACAAGAAAGTACACAAAAGGGCTCTCATACCCATTCAGTCAGTAGATATTTATCAACATCTTCTCTGCCAAGGAACTGGAGGGTAAGGCAGATATGGTCCCTGCTCTCCAGGAGCGTTCAGTTGAGTATGACTTTCCTACTTGGATGCCCTTTTTCCCTGCTAGGCCTGAAGATATGGAGTCAAAAGTATGGAGTCAAAAGTATGGAGTCCAAACCCCAGACTGGCTGGCAGGAGTTCTGACACTCCATTCTCTGGCCAGCTCCCTCATTCCTCAGAACAAAAGACTGATCCTATTCCCCAGTCACTGACTCAAAATGCTCTGACACTCAGAATTTTCAAACTAACCACCATATTACTTAAAGTAATAATACTCAAGTTATACCCATTCATCAACTGATATCCCATATCACACCCCTACTCCCTTCCAGATATGAACACTTATGGCAATCTAGCACAGGTTGGCTTTGGGTGCTAAATACTGGACAGAGGCCAACTGTATAGCCACATCAGTTCCCTGTTCTCATATATCCCAAGGAGGCTGTCTGCTTAAGTAGAAAAGTATGGAGTCAAAGACTCTAGTTTTAATACTGACTCTATAACTTAAAGATGCACAAGGACTTGAAAATCAGTTTTTCCATCTGTAAAATAGAAATAGCTATACAAATAGGTTTGTGAGGGCCAAATAAGATAATGTGTAAAATCAAATCACCTACTAAAGAACTTGGAAGTAGATGATAATTACTGATGCATTGTTTCTTCTTTTCTTCCCCTGGTCCCTAGCTCCTCCCCAGTTCTCTACCAGCTCAGATCCTGAGATAGTTTCAACTAAGCCATAGGAATTCCAAAAGGGCTTTTTCTGCAGACCACCTTGGCTCTGTTCTATGCCCCAGATTTAGCTATTATTAGTTGAACAGACCATAGAAACCAGCTATGTTGTCTAAAATATAGCAATATAGATGCTACTTGGCTCTTTCATGCTTCTCTCCTTATTTTCTTGAACTCTGATACAGTTGTCATGAGGACCCCCCCAGAGAAAAGTTGAATGGAAATAACCTACTACATGACTCAATTATCAAGGGTGGCCTGAAGTTATAGCAAACATTACTGGTGGTTCACCATTATTTAAAGCAAAACTCTTAAGTTTTAGTTGGTCATATGGAGGGACGCATGGCTGCTCAGCTAATGACTGCATTTCTCAGACACCTTTGCAGCCTAGTGGGAACTTATGAACAAGTGCTGGTCAATGGGATGTGATCAGAAATGACTCAGCCCATTTCCATGTTATGCTCCCTCCAAAAAAATGTGGATGGATTCCTCTAGCCCTTTTCATTCTTTCCCCTCACTGGCTGGGAAATGATGAGAACTAGAGTAGCTAACTTGGTTCCAAAGTTGGAGGCCATGTCGTGAGAACGGAAGAGTTGCCCTGATAATCACTATTATATAACATAAAAAAATAATCTTCAATCTTGCTTAATTCACTGTACTTTTTAACTTTATTGTTACAATGTCCTAGCCAAAACACTATACAATACAGAAGTATTTCTATTTAATCAGGTATATTTGCTTACCTATTGACAGCTTACAAAAATTGTCAGTAACTATTAGAAATAAATGTCTTCCTATGAAGTGAACCTTTAAACTTTAAAAATGCTATTGTTACATGTACCTAGTACCTAAATTCTTTTTGCCAGGTAAACCCATACCAATCACTCACAGCTTTACTAACCAGTCAGTGCCACATAAACCTGGAAGTCTGAGACCCCATGACCTTAGTCATATACCACTGGCTCATGTACCAGTTTCTGTCTTGCTCATGATTTTTCTCATTTTGATCTCTTGAATTTTTTTTTTTCTGTTCGTGACCTTGCCTGATTCCTTGAACCTAACTCACAAAGACATTTTCCTTATAATGACTGGAAATGATCCATATACACCTCCTTGATTATGCTATTCTCAGCTGCTTCATGCAATTATCTTCCTCAGTATAGCCTAATGTCTAAGATTCTATATTTCCATGCAGAGTTTCATAGCCTGTATCTCCACTGAGTTCCTATAAGCCCACCACAGGGGCCTACTAGTCATGTCCTACCCACCATTACTTACTCATCTCTCTTATTAAAACAGGACTGTGTTCCTGTATTTTAATTCACATCAAAACAAAAAACAAAAAACAAAAAACCATCAATATCCTCATATAATATACACATGCATAACTGCCCTCCAGATTTGTAGGGGCTTTTTGGTTTTTTTTGTTTTATTTTTACCTATTTTGCTGTAATTATCTGCAACAAAGTCTTCCAAACCAATCATCTTCCAGAAACTGTCATCCCAGCCTCTCTCTGCTGAGTACGTCCATTTGCACACCAGAGAACAGAGAGACCTAAGAAAATAGGAGAGAGGTAAAACCAATAATATGAGCTAGGCTTCCTTTATGTTTTGCCAAATACCTACAAAGATATCTATGGTAGTACCGAAGAGAATAAACCAAACTAGGTAATTATACATCCCTGTTTAGATGAAAAGTCCCCATTTACATGTTAATGATTGAGAGTACCTCTTTCAAGTCTCAGCCCCTTTTTTAGCTCCCAATCAAGCAATGTATACGAATATTTTTATTTATATCTATATTTATATTTAGATGACTTTTTTGATAATTAGACATTATATACAATGACTAAGCTATCTGATGATATCGAACATAATTATTAAATTTTAAGTATGACATTGGTAATTGTGATTATATTTCAAAAAAATCTTATCACTTAGAGATACATACTGAACGATTTATTTATAAAATAGTATGATATTTGGGATTTGCTTCAAAATAAGAGAAGGAGAAGTGAATGACATTATGGATAGGGCAGAATTGGTCATGGGTTGGTGGATGTGAGGCTGAGTGATGAGTAAATGGTGTTCATTATACTATGCTGTATGGTACATATTCAAAATTCTCTATAATGAAAAGGTATTTTTTAAAAGAGTCTGGTATATAGTCACTCCAGTCTAAAGCAATATTTAACAGC